TGATTTGTATGGGTGTTTCAATAGTTCGTGTGGAGCTGGCAGGATTGGAGTCCAAATATTTTTATAGTTATCCAAAGTTAAAACTACGCAACGGATTTTGATGTGGTTTTTTTAATAGATAGAGTGATTTTTAAGGAAGGTTTATGTGTAATACATGCATATATATCCCATGCGAAGCTGGGCCGGGTTGCTAGTCTTCTTCTTATATAAAAATGAATTTCTGTTCGTTAGTCTCGCTAAAACTCGAGAACGGCTGAACCGATTTAGGTAATTTTGGTCTTGTAATGTTCGTGGAAGTCCAGGGAAGGTTTTAAAGTTGAGTAAAAAACATTTTAGGCGGTATTAAGTTTGCCGAGTTAGCTAGTACCTAATTATAAAAATTAAGATTAAATTGGAATATATGATATTTGTAGATTACACAAATTGTTATTTTGCCCGGGAATAGAACTTACAAAAATGCACTTGCCTACCGCTTCGGGAATATAAAGATGTCTTTTATAAAATTTTCAGGTACATAAGTAGTGTATTTCTTATAATCATTTGTATTCTATCAATCTATATAGCACTTTACACGTCTAGAACTAGAACCAAATAGATCTATTTTAAAAACCTCTTTTATTATGAGGAACCTATTTTAACAATGATTGACATTATCCTAACCGCAGAAGCAACAAAACAAATATTTATTTTATTGTTAAGTCAAATAGTGCAGCGCTGTAAATTGGCGTGGCAACTGAAGCACTGTGACGTCATCGTGCATAGCCATGCATCAAACACGTGTTGATAGACATGTCAATTTGAATCTTATTTTTATATTAAGTAAGGCAAAAAATGTAACAAAATTAATGATGATGTTGATGAAAATGACTGCCTCGTTGGCCGAATGGTCGCAAGTGCGACTGCCGAGCAAGTCTCGGGTTCGGTTTCCGGGTGGGGCAAAGTACCTACTTATTACTGGGTTTTTAAAAAAATAATTAGTACGTCAGTTAGATAATGAAAAAATATTAGACACGTACTTTTTATTTTGTTGTATAATAAAATGATACTTAGATATAGAGAATCAAAGTTTAGGAGTGGGGGCTAAAACGTCATTTCTAGATTATAAAATGTACATAGAAGTGACGTCACGCGACTTTTCAAATCAATATATCGTCAAAAGTATTCATTTCTGTAAAATAATAAAAAAAACGTGTGTAATGTTTTGAAATAATCTACCAAACGAACATTAAAATAAAAATTAGTCAGCTACCCTATTGTTTTGAAGCCTGTATAATAATGTATAATTTGTATCATTAAGTAGATAAAAATGATTGTAAATACGATAATCCCCTTCTCTCTAAATGAGGTAAGCAGAATTTCAAGTGTTATTACTAAAAGTGTGCTGATAATGTTACCATTGCAATGCGCTGGCGCATGTCCAAGATGGAGTGGTCATAGATCATTATAGTAGATAGATGATGGTCAATGATGTTAGTGTTTTACATTGTTTTAAGTTATAGACCACAATTAAGATTATCCTAAAGTGTGTTTAGATTTGACTAGACAGCTGACTAAGCAACTGACTCCTGCGCAACGTATTGCAGATTCCATTCCTGTGTGCTTTATGAATTTTCTTAGTGAACTTTAAATAATAACTTTCATAAGATTAACTAAAAATCGCGGGTTACTCTCGTGACGTTGATGTGTGATTTTGAGTTAATTTAGTATGTCTCACGATAGTTATTATACCTACTTAAAAACTTTCATGAGACATCAAAATTAATGTTTTCGGCTTACTTACTCAACTGTTTGACGATGAACTCGACTAGTTCCAAGCCATACTACACGCTCATATTCATGAGTCAAGTTCATCGTCAAACAGTTACGTGAAAAAGCCGAAAACAGAATATTTAAACTTTAAAATTACGAGTAAAATATGAACTTATTAAAAAGTAAATATTAAACAAGCGTAATGTGCCTAATGATAGGGTAAAATCCACAGTAACAGTTTTGTACATAGGTACATACATACATAACTTCACATCACACCTGTCTCCCATGGGGGTAGGCAGAGACTATGGATTGCCAATTGCTACGATTCCTACATACCTCTTTCGCTTCATCAACAGTCATCAATCTTTTCATGCATGCTCGTCGGTTAAGGGTTTTTTTTTTAATTTGACCCTTCTTTAATTTATTACAGCTTAGTAATGTGTAAAATATATAAGGTGTAGTTTTGAAGCAGTGTAATTTCTCGGGGGCATGTCACAGAAGTCATAAAGGTTCAATGTAAAGAATTAAATTTCGGGCTAATAGTTAAAAATACGGCTATAAAAAAGAGTTTAAGTTCGACAGTATTTCAGAATAAGCGACAGCAATGTTTCTTATTGGAGTTTTATGGAATTAGGAATAATAGATATCCAGTTCGTGTTTGAGCTTGGGTGTGTTAAGCCGCGTTATAAAGCTAGTTACAAGACGGCGGTGTGTAGTTCGCACTTACGGATTTCCGTAATTAACAAAAAATGAAAAACATTTACCTACACTTTTTTTTATTGATTCGGACTCAGAATCGATAGCCGAGTTACCTCCTAGAAAATGACGCGGCTGTAAAACAACACCTTGTATAACAAGTAATACATATTTTACCTAAGTATTGTGAAATTTAAAACTCTTCTTGTAACTAAACTAACATTGGCAATGAGACTTATGACTATTTTTTACCAAGTCACTGACCTTTTCCCCTTCATAAATCAAATGAGAACTGAAAAATTTCAGTCAAATGAACTCATCACTATAACAGCGTTACAGTTATGAAAATTGGCATGGGAAACTATACGTTTGACGTAATTTCATGAAATTCTACTGTAAATACAAACCGAGATTTAATGGTTTCCTTTGTGACGTCATCACCATAATTTTGCTATAAGTTTTTTATGGTGGCCTTCGTTTAATATACTGAGGTCAATATAAGCTGTATGGTTATTAATTTTGAGACGGGTTATTGCCCTGCTTTATCCTAATGTCATCATAGTTATCAACAGCCTGTAAGTGGCCACTGCTGACCAAAGGCCTCTTCTCCCATGGAACAGGTTTGAGTATTAATCGCCACGCTTGCTCAATGCGGGTTGGCAATTTCTCACGATGTTTCCTTCACCGTTTGTCAGTAGTATTTGGATAATTTTCAAAAGTACATATAACTCGGAAAAAGTCACATTGGTACTTGCCGTGGGTAGGTTTCGTACCCGTATCCCCATGCACGAGAAGTATCTTAAACCTCCGGCCCACCACGTACTTATATTCGACCTATGCCGTGCAGACAAAATCAAATGTCTATAATTATTACGTAGTATATAGACATGTTCATGCAATTCAGTATATATTATTAGAGAAATGAATATTTTTTATACATTTTGCATGATGCGCAAATGTTACAATGATCTGTTGACAAAGTCTTCATTACCAAAGTAATAAAATAGTAATTCATAGATGTTACTTCTTACCTCTATACAATTATACATCAATGTATGTGTCAATATAAACAAAACAATGATGAATACAATCATTGCACAGTTTTTACGACTGCATTAAAAGTACAATAGAGGTTCCGATCATGTTTACGTCATTACAACATTCGTCATTTTGTGTAGTAGATAATTGAATCCTGAAAAGGGCAGGCAACAGACAGGGCTATTAAATACGTTGCACATATTAAAAGAAATCGTAACAATGTTTTTCTGAATAACGTAACAATCTAAACCTGCTGCATTTTTTTAAACTTTTAAACACCAAGCGGTCACCGGTGACCACAACCTATTGTTCTATAATTGTGTCTACAATGACGGTACTCGACGAATTAAGGGAGGAAAATCATCGATTGACTTCTTCCGCCTAGGTGAAGCGGGAGGGAGTGTCAGACTCTTACTGACCAAAAACCGCCCCGTTCCTACGCCTGCACTTCGAGCCCTGGTAACCTGTTAAGTTCTCTGCGGCTCCGTATCGGCATCAGCCCTATTGAGCCCATCCGTGGTGGTCTAATGGCTCTTTGAGGCGCGCGCGGAACGCTCGGCGCCGTACGCTCGAGTCTGGTTCTGGTCGGGCTGCAAATTACCCATGCTTGCCGTCCGCAGGCCCGTGCTCCCGGTGGCCAGAATGAACCTGCTACATAAGCTGTCATTTAATGTTCCGAAAAAATCGATTCGATTCAACCCACAAATTGCTGTCCCAACTTTTTCCTCAAATTATTGTGTGAGTGACCAGGGATTTTAATAAATTGTGCAAAGATTTAGGACTCGATCCATTTACCACAAGCACTTCCAGGATGCGTAGGCGACTAAACCTTGAATTCACTGAATAGATATCCTTATTTTTTTACTTTTATGTGCATTGCATTTGCAAAACCTCTGTAGAGATATACTTTAGCTAGCCGTGGAAACATATAATTGGCTTTGTATACCTATATCCTGATTTGTTATTCTTTGTAATTTAGCTGTTGGCAATAAATAATCATAATCATTTATTTATTTGTAACATAGATGGTATTACATGGATGTTCATAACTTAACATCAGGTTTAGTTACAGTATACCTATATAACAGTATTGTCTCAGTCGATTCAATATTACTAATGTTATATAACTTGACTTGAAAAGGAAAGGTATATAGACTACTTTTCTCTTTTGACTACTACCGAAGCAGCTAGTGAGAAGTTAGTAGAATAGTTTAATAATAAAACTGAATCATCAAAGGTTATCGTAATAAAAAGTAGTTTACGTAAATATTTCGCGGAAGCCAATGAAACATTTTTTTTTAACAATACATAACGCGTAAATCTGCTGGAAGTGAAAAATACCTCATGAACTAGATAAGGCACCTATTCGAAAAGCCCAAAACTGTAATAATATCTTGCCTGACCTGGAAAATTAATCAAAAACCCCTTGCCACCATTTGACCAACAAGCCAAAGACCAGACGGAGTTCAAAAATATTATTATTCATCTAAAAACAAAAACTCTCAATATTCCAGGATGCAGTGGTGATAGTGGATGTCAGCAACCGCACACTCCCGAACCAAGCGACCCATGGGGCCCACAGGAACCATGGGACTCATGGGGCCCACACGACCGGAACCCACGCGAACATAGCATCTTTAGATGACTGCCAAAGTATAGTGACACAACTGGTGTCGGCAAAGGAAGAAGCTCTCCTACTGTATACGGACTTCGCTTCCCGCGCCGGTAACGATTTGAAGACATTCCTCAAAAACATCACTGGGTATGCTGATGGCATCATCCAGAACGTTAATGCTGAACCGCCTCTTGATGATGTGAGTATTTTTTTGTCTTTTTTTAATGTACTACAAATATTGAAGATCTACGATTTTATGGTCGGTTGTTGTATAATGGAATAGGCATTTTATTCGCATAGTTTTTATGGAAATTGGAATAATTTCGACCTATGAGAAGACGTTGGTGTAAGTGTCGCGGTGGCCCGGAGGTTTAAGACGCCCGCTTCTCTCTTCTCGGCAAGTACCAATGTGACTTTTTCCGAGTTATATGTACTTTCTAAGATTATTGAGACACCACTGACAACGGTGAAGGAAAACATCGTGAGGAAACCTGTGCTTATAATTTCTAATTATAAATTTAAAATCGCCAACCCACATTTAGTAAGCGTGGTGATTAATGCTCAAACCCACTCCGTGTGAGAAGAGGTTTTGCTCAGCCGTGGGCATTATAGGCTGTTGATCTGTATGATGTATTCGAGAAGACGGTAATAAATACCTCTACTATAAAGTTACGTGATTATTCAAACTTAAAATTAACTCAAAATAAAAATTACCGTGTCCTCGTTTAAACTAAGCGTCTAACGGGACATCTGACATTTGGTCGTTAAATCTTCTATCTATCGCTGCACGGCACTAGGACGAAGTAGAAAGCTACTTCGTCCTTTCATGTTTGTCTTATAGGTCCAACAAAGAATGTTAAGATCCAAACTTCTCAATCCGGACAAAGAAAACAACTTTATGGAGTTACATGATACATAAATACAGTTCATTGTTCTTTATATACTTACTTGAATTTACGATCTCGGTTCGCAACTTGACCGTCACTTAAGTGTAATGTTACTGTCCAACTTGCTTAGTAAACAACGACAATTTATTTATAATTTATGCTGTATTGTTGATTCTTAATCTAAGTTCAAGTCAGCAATCTAGTTTGTAGATGTTTACTTACCTTGGTTAATGCTGGCTATTGTTGTAGACTTATGAATTAATACTAATAATAATCTTATACTGTTATATAGAGCGGAAGTTTGTTTTTTGTTTGTTTGTTTGAACGCGCTAATCTCCGTAACTGCAAGTCTGATTTCAATAATTCTTTTTGTGTTGGATAGCGCATTTAGCGAGGATGGCTATAGGCTATAAAACATCACGCTACGACCAATAGAAGCTAAGCAGATCGTGTGAGTGTGAAACCGCGCCGAAGTAGTTAGTACTAATATATAAAGCGGAAGAGTTTGTATTTTGTTTGTTTGTTTGATTGCGCTAATCTCCGTAACTACAAGTCTGATTTGAATAATTCTTTTTGTGTTGGATAGCGCATTTATCGAGGATGGCTATAGGCTATAAAACATCACGCTAAGACCAATAGGAGCTGTGCAGAGTGTGTATAACCGCGCGTAAGTAGCTAGTACTTATAGAATTTTATAAATACGAATGTATGTTTGTTGACTTCTTCTTTCAAATTGCAAATAATAGCAATGGAATCGAATTGACGCCATGATTTTGTTTCTGGGCGCTGATAAATGGACTCAGGACAGCTTTCAGCTCATATTTAATTAAATACGAACTGATTGATGACAAAGACAGAACGAAGATTCCTTTTCGTTTCATTGCGTCAATCAGTATTTTTGAAAAAAATAAATAACTGCAATAGGTATATTTATAATCACATGCAAGTATAAAATCCAAAACCTCTTTCTTAACAATACCACTAAACCTTCTTCTAATGAATCAGTCAGTGAATTCACAAACGTAGGTATTCTTAGTTCGCTCTCACACACTCCATAAAAGTCCCTAGTTCCCTACTCGAACAGTTTCTCGTATTGACAACACTCCAAAATATTGATGATTAAGAATTCGCCCAGAAAGTTATATTAGTACACGTTACAATAATAACTGTTTGTTATGAGAAAATTGTTCGAAAATAACGTTTGACGTGTATGTGCATTGTGCATGGAGAAATGCATGTTTATCAAAATATTCATGCTAAATATTTTGTTTTGTTTCGTTTCATGACATAACAACTCATCGCACGTACCTATGTACGTGCGATGAGTTGTTATGTCGAATTCTACATGTGTAGTCTATAAAGTTGTGTAAATAGAGCGAAATAGTTATTACGTAGGTATTTGTGTTTTTCACATAGTGGAGAGATACAAAGTTCTGCTTAGACTGAAGTTTCTCATAAAATTTTGATTTTTAACACGTTAACCGTCACGTAGGTCACCGGTGACCTACGTTAGCGGAGGATTTGCCTTCATCAGTTTTGTGTCGGCAGTCAAAGACTAGAGTCTACCTACGATCTCGGGACGCTAATGCTCGGTATAGCGTGATAGGAACTTTAACATAGATAAAGTAATGCAATAATTGTAAGAAACCAAATGACTTCTAAAAACTTCTGAATTTTTCACATCACAAGAGAACAAAATCTTCATAATCCTTTTGACGCTTAACAAGTATGAGAACTCAGAAAAACTAAAGATTTAATTATCTGTTAAGCTATAGTTGTAAACATGCAGTGTCTATCTTATTTTTAAATACTAACTAAAAGAACCGTAGTCTTAATTCAAATCAAATCCAATCCATACATCAAGGAGACACTACTACAAGTATACATTCATATACTTACATCTATATACTTAGTACCTACATACATGGTACATATAGATAAGCCAAAGCTCCCAACTATCGGCTCAAGTAACAGATGCAAGCGTTATCGATGCAAATAATGCGATACAAATGCCATCACGTAGGAATGCAGCACCATATATGTATGCAGCGGGATTTGGCAATACTGCTCCAGTTGCAATATTGCATAATGTTGCGTAACGATTAATCGGATTATCTATAACAGCTGGGCCTAATCACATATGAATCTGTTGGCTAGAAGAGATAGAAATTTGTTTGGATGGGTGTAAATTACTTAGGGCTATTCGTTGCCAATACGTCGACAGTTTTCATTGTTTCTAAGCAAGATGCATTTCATGCATTCGTCAAGTCGTCGGCATCGTGGACGTAGGTCGTAATCTAATTTTTATTTTAGTTTATGCTTCAACGTTTGGCCCCTACTTGCCAAATAGAACCTAAGTGATGATGCGCCCTAAGATGAAATTGAAATTTTATCTTCAGTCAAGCCAAATCTACGAATGGGTCATTAAGATTGGCCGTCACATAATTAAGGCAGATGTCTAGTGGTGAATTGTGATTGGGAAGTCGGTGATAGGCAACGAAGCACTTTAATTAGATATCTATCTATTACCATAGCGTTTATTATTGAATGCTTTGTTTACGAGTAGACGTGTATTTAAATTGTACGTGATGTGTTGTAGTTGACAAATAAAACCTTATTTGTTTCATTTATTCAGAATATAGATGTCCAAATGCCTAGCGCATGTCTGTGAATCTAATATTCAGACCACGCATTTCATGACGATAAAGCTAATTAATTCCAAAGTGTAAATATC